ATTTGGATTTTTTTAAAAAGCAAAACATCTGTAACAATGTAGAAAAGATAAAGAAAAATGATTCTGTGATTTAGATATTGGGATAAAGAGGATTTTTCAGCTCAAAAGTCATTTATTGGCATCAGTTTTGTTCTTGGCATGTGCTAGGTACCAAAACAATAAGACAAGTTTCCCACTCTTAAGAAACCGCCAACCTAGTACAGGTTTCTCAGTGTGGCTCTGTAGACACCACTAGGGGTTCTGTGAGACTTTGGTAGGGGATTCAAAAAGAAACTGGAGGCTGGTGTCAGTGGCTCACTCTTGTAATCTTAGCTACTCAGGAGGCGGAGATCAGGAGGATCACAGTTTGAAGCCAGTCTTGGCAAACAGTTCTGGAGACCCTATTTTAAAAAACCCTATCACAAAAAATAGGGTTGGTGGAGTGGCTCAAGGTGAAGGCCCTGAGTTCAAGCCCTAGTACTGCAAAAAAAAGAAGAAACTGGAAATTATAAAAAGTTTACAAAAAATTCCTTTCTTCTTTGTGCAATGACTCACAGTCAGGAAGAGTGGTCAAGAAACCCTGTTAATTCTTTTGTAATTTTATTGTGGTAAGAACACTTAACGTGAATAGCAAAATTTTAAGCATAAAATATATTATTGTTGATTATAGGCATAATTGTTGTATAATAAATGTTTAGAGCTTATTCACCTTGCTTAATTGAAACTTTACATCCATTGATAAGAACTTCTTTTCTCTCCCTCCCTCATCCATTGGTAACTACCATTGCAGACTCTGGTTCTATTAATTTGACTATTTTAGATACCTCATATAAGTGGAACCATGAGTACTTATCTTTCTGTGACTGGCTTAATTTTACTTATCAACGAAGTGAAAAGCAAGCTATGGAATGGGAGAAAACATTGACAAACCAGTCAAGCTCTAAGATATATAAGAAACTCCTACAACTCAAGAGCCACCCTTCCCGCAAACCAAAAAAACCAATCAACCAACCAAACAAAATTCTAATAACCTGGTGTTAAAAACTGGGTTAAAGGCTTGAATAGATATTTCTCTGAAGAAAATACACTTTTTTTGTTTGTTTGTTTGGACGGGGGTTTGAACTCATGGCCTTGTGATTTTGGAAAACTATTCTACCAGTTGAGGCAGACCTACAGCCCCAAAGATGGCATGGAAATGACCAAAGGTATATGGAAAACACTCACTGTTACTAGTCACCAGAGAAATGCAAATCAAAAAACCACAACGAGATATTACTTAGTACCTGTCAGAACGATTATTAATTTTCTTAAAAAGTCAACAATTTTTGGTGAGTGTGTGGAGAAATTAGAACCCTTGAACACAACTGGAAGGAAAGTTAAATGGTGTTGCCTCTATGGAAAATAGAATAGAAGCTCCTCAAAAAACTTAAAAATAGACTTACCATATAGTACAGCAGTCTCACCTCTGGTGTTTATCCAAGAGAATTGAAATCAGGATCTGAAGTGATAGTAACACTGTATTTATTGCAACACTGTTCATAGTAGCCAAGAGGTGGGAACAATCTAATGGTCATCGACAGATGAATGGATGAAGAAATGTGCTGTATGTACACAGTAGATCACTTACCCTTCAACCTTCAAAATGAGGTTCTGATGAACTGTGAGGAAGAAGATCTTTTAAAAAGAGAAGTCACTCGTTTACTATATAATAGCTATGTGCTATTTGACAAATATTCAGGAAAGGGACAATAATGCCTTCATGGTTCTTATGCACCCTTCTGGTAGGTGTTAGTGATCAACTCTTCCAAGCTGGTAAGAATGGGGCAGGATGACGGACAGTTTCATACACCTTGTGAATCAAATGTCTTTTAATCATATGTTGTAAACTGTAATGAAAATTATTATGATGATGATTTTTTATGTTTTTCTTGAGATGGGTCCTCACTGTGTAGCTCAGGTCAGCCTTGAACTCCTTGTTCCTCCTGCTTCAGCCTCCCAAGTGCTAGAATTACAAGTTGTGTACCACTATGCCCTGCTTTGTTTGCTTTTTTTACAAAACAAATATTAGCTGTTCATTCCTAAATTTAAAAAAAAGTAAAATTTGTGATTTCACTCATGAAGTACCAAGAGCGTTATCACAGTAAAAAGTATAGTTTGGCCTTGATGGAATTTAAATTATTTTATCTATTAGAAAGCAGTGATTACTTATGTTTACTCATGCAAGAAACTCACATTACTAAAATGATTTCATGTACCAAAAGTGTCAGTTTTCTGGAGCTGTGTCACCGTAGCTGTTTTGGCTCCAACTTTGGTGGTGATCACTAGACCCTGCTGCTGAGGCCCCTGCTGTGCAAGCTGGGAACAGAACAGAGGCATCACAGCACTCCCAAGGGCATGGCAACAGTATCTGACAACAACATCCCTTTGTCATAGATGATGGGGAACAAGGTTATTCTTCATTTTCTTTTTCTCCTGAAACCATGTAATTTGTTTTAGGAAAATATATTTGTAAACTATAAATCAATGATACTGAAGTATTTATAGATATCTGAGTTGTTTTGAATATATTCTTTGTTAAACCTTTTTATCTTCAGTGTAGTAAATTCCTAATTAAGGTAGTTTCTTAACTTGTCCAGATATTTGAATTGTTATAGTGAAAATATTGTTTTCCACTTTGAATACTGTGCTTGTAGTCACTGTATGCATGTGCTAGCTAGTCTGTATTATAACTCAACAACACATCTTGGATTTTCTAAATTTTTGTAAAAGTAAGTTTTTTTTTCTATAGTATGGAATTTTTCATGGAATAAAATTTGGGTAGGTGAGAAAAAATGAGTATGAATAAAATTAATGTATCAATTAAGTGCAGCTCAGCTAAATTGTACTTTATTTCTTTTGTCAAATAAAAACACTATGAAATTCAAGGTAATGGAAGAGTTTCCTAGCCTCATCACTGAGTCCCTTCTTTAAACACTATCCATGGACAATGTGGTCTTTGACTTTTATGAATCTTGCTAGAGAAACTTGGGGAGACTGGGTCTATGCCATAACAGTTAAAAGGTCCAGGAAAATCCCTTGAGTGTAATTTGTTCCCTCCAAGATTAGGCTATGTAGGAGAGAGACCCACTCTGACAGCCAGCCACTTTGGGAAAGGTCAGCAATTATTTATCTAATTGATTCCTACTGTCACACACATGTACCCGGAGACCTTAAGAGCTAAACTGAAGGAGAATCTCAAGTACTGATAAACACAGGTGAAATTGTTTGGGAGGTGCACTCCTGAGTGGTAACTCTTTTTCCAGTCATACCTCCTTATGTATTTAAACATCCCTGATAAAAACTGAGGGACATGAAAAATATTAATTAAATCTTAAAATGCCTTGAAAATCAACTGAAAGCTAAAATTCCAGAATGAAATACTTTCTGTGCTCTGCTTACTAATGTTTTAACTCACTGGGTATCTCCTGTCTTATTAGTAAGAACTCCACCAGGGTCATTGCCATTCCATGTCCCAGTCGCATACCCTCATACTTGCATCTAAATTAGGAAAAATACTTTTTTAAAAAAAATAACATTCTAAAATGCAAATGTTGAAAAAACCTCAAGAAATAAGAAAAAATAAACTCTAAAAATATGGAAGCAGAGACATTGCTAAGGAAATGCTAGCTGTCTTGACAGAGGAAAGAAACTATGCTAGAGATGGAGAATAAAATTTCTGTTTTAGATGATGCAGATATGTTGGAAATACATAGAGGTGATGGTTGTACAACATCACAGATCACGTTGTGAATGTAATTAATGTTACTGTATTATACACTTAGATGGGTGAAGTTGCAAATTCTAAGTTATAGTCTGTATATTTTACCATCATTAAAAAAAACCCAATAATATACCAAATATCAGTGAATTGAACACTTCAAATGGGTGAGTTTTATGGAATGTGAATTTCTATCTCAATAAATCTATTAAAGAAATATCATGGATTAAAAAAAAGAGGATCAAGCCTACTGAAAGAGAAAGGCCACAGGTGACATGTAAGAGTCCCGGCCTTCAGTTTTCATTCTTGAGACCTTGGGTTGATTTGCTACTTTATACATATACTACATATACTATACTTCCCAGGCATGGGTGCCATTTTAGTCTACACTGGGAGAAAACAGGATGGCAAACTGTTGCTGCTATTGGCATATGAAGCTTATTTGACCATCTACTAATCAAAACTCAATATAAGAGAGGAGATGGGAGAGAGAGAGCCCTCTCAGGAAGAGGAGAGGATCAGTTTACAGTTTATCAAGATAAATATTGCTATCTTGGGTTTCATAAAAACAAAGCCACACTTAACAGTAAAGATATAGCATTTGGATGATTTAATTATGGCTTTAGGAGAAATTATTGACAGAACAAAATTTTCTTAAACTTATTAAAAATTTACTCTTTTCTCGAGATGATATTTTCTCAAAAATATTTAAGAATCTCCAAATAAAAGGTCAAAAAGCCTTCTGGTTCTGTTTCTCATGATTCTTCTGTAACCACAGTCAATGAAATCATTTAGAACACAAGAGCATTCTGGGATAGACTTTCTGATTTCTCATTCCAAGACAAAGAAAGACTGAAAAATTCAAATCAAGAATTTTTTCTTTAAAACAAACTCTGTACTGTTTGAATGAGTCTCCTCTTAGCTGTATGAAAGTGCTTGGTGGAGTTATTTTTAACTGGGGACAGAACATTCATTCTGGAAAGCATTCAGATCCCTAATTTTATAACAAGCAGAAATATATAGAATTGATGAAGGCTATGCCAACTGCAGTATTTCTGTCAACACTTAGGTGCAGAATCATCAACAGACTTTAATTTTACATTTTTCAGGAGTTGTAGTCTTCAAGGTGCAGAGAAGTCTTGAATCTGGATGACGTTTGTTTGCCTGAATACACAGATGCTTGACATCATCTGGAGATACTTTGCTTTTTTGCCAAGAAATTTGTAATTTCTTTACAAATAATGAGTCCAAAGGATACCAAATGGATTCTATTTCTTTTATTGATTACTTTTATTAAACATTGTTAGCCAAGTAAAATGATTAAAAAACAACTAATATTATTGGAATAGGTGCATCCTATTAACTGACCTAAATGAATTCAGTCTTTCATTATAGCAGTGAATTTTCACGTTGCGCACATATAAGTAACATAGTCCCAAATATAACAATCACGTCTGTGTTAATCCAGAAAAATATATACATTCCTATTAAACAGACGTATATACTAACAAAGTTTTAGTACAAAAGCCAAAACAAATAAGAAAGCATCCTTATTCTAATGGTTAGTGATGCTCTTAGAGATGGGTGTCAGCGATGGGTATCCGCCTGAGTTCTACGATCTGAGAGTCAGTCAAAGTACCTCCCTCCTGGCTGCCTTGACCAGATTCATTGTCACTGACACTGAGACCAGCACCTGCAATTGAAACAAAAAAAGGATAAACACAAAACTTCACACTGTTAGTGCAGTGAATCAAGAATCAAGGATCAAGCTACATAGATCCAAAACATGTTTATATCAATATTAGTAAAAAAAAAAAAAAACCAAACAGCTAAATATTTAGAAAAGATAACACCTAACAGTCATCGCACTGTATTTTAAGTTGACTTTGATAGTTGTTAGAAGGAGAAATTTATACACGTTATTGTGTTCTCCATTTTTTTGCTTGTTTCCACATGGTGGACAAGGCTTCTGAACATAGGAAACCAGACAGGTTATCAGAGTTTTCCAGTGGAGGGGTGGGAATATGGTTTGTTGTTAGAACATATACAACCTCCAGCCCTACAAGCTCCACTTAGTTCAGTAGCTCCATCAGTGTGGTCAGTGTTTTGAGAAGAAAGACTGGTTTGTGTGATGGGGAGACACCTGGAGTCCTATCAGTGCCTAGAGGACAAGGGCTCTGTAGAAGCAGACTGATCCTGAGATAAGGACAGTTATGTAACACAGTGCCAAAGCGATCCCCAGAGAAACCACGAAACTAGCTGTTGTTAACTATAGACTATGCCCCAAGTGGTCCACTATTCACTACAGTTTCCCACAATTCAGAGTAACTCAGAAAACTTAAAACTGTGCTAGAATAACACTACTCTTTTCTTCTGTACTGCAGAAGACCACATAAACTCATATGCTTTCTCTCTCTGACACACGCACACCCACAAGCACATGCGTACGCACACCCACAAGCACATGCGTGCACACACAGGCACACACACGTAAAGAGAATAGGGATGTGGTCACAGGGTGTGTTGGTGTGAATCACCAGCTCCCAGCTTCTCCCCCACTGCTGGGCTCTTGACTGCAAAAAAGGAGGAAAGTGACAAACCAGTGGTCAGGGTAGCTAAGATGTCCCTCTCTGTGATGGAGGAACAGCAATTCCACAGAGTGGCCAGTTTTGAGAAGATGGTGACTTAGATTCAGCTAAACCTATTTGGAGAAGGAAGTAGGACCCAGTAAACACTCTTTCTAGCCACCACCGGCTATCCCCATCCTTCACACCCTCTTTGTTAAAGGCTGCTGTTGAAACTCCACTTCCTTCCTTTGCTTCTGTGCTACATAACTTGCCCATCTCCTCCTCTGATGCGCTGGTTCTTGCCAGAGTTCTTCTGCTTTCTCTCATGGCTCCTGCTGTCTCAGCTCTAGAGAGTCTTTGAGCCCTGCTTCAAAGTCAACAGGATCTGTCTGAGCCTTGGTTGCTCTCTAGCCCATATCTCACTAGTGTTTCTGAGCATCACTGCCTTGGCACACGATGTTATTATGCTGACACCTCTGTCTAGGGTGAGTTCTCATTCCCACCTCCTTAATCTGGCTGCTTCCCCTGTTCCTACATTGTCTCAGATGGCTGGAAATGTAGCTCAGTGATAGAGCACTTGCCTAGCTTGTGTAACCCCCAGTACTGCAGAAAAACAAACAAAACAAAAGCCCATAAACTCAGATATTGTCTCTGCTACCTGTGGAAACTTGACAATTCTCCTTTAAAATTTCTGCCTCCCTCTGGATTATATCCATCCTATCTCTGTCCTTTCACAACGTGCTATCATCTCGCTGTACCCCATGAATTATGTGGTTCAACCCTTGTCTTTCGGAAAGTGTCCACCAAAGCTGATCAGGTCTCTGACACACTCTAAATTTCCTCATTAATTCCTACTCAATACTCTCTCTGTCTCTCCATCAAGCCCCATCTCCACACCCTTTTACCAGCACTTCTTTTTACCATTCCTCCAAACTAAGAAGCTGGAGGAAATAATATTTGAAAACAAAATAATTCTTACATCTGACAAAATTATTAATCATATCCACTTTATTCTCCATTTGTTCAGATGATAAATTTTATGGTTATTCCATAGACATGTATATATGAGTCATGAAATAAAATGTTTAGCAAACATCCATGAACTCTTTCCTCAAGTTAACAATTAGAATATTTTGAATGAAAATGCATTTTGAAAAATTTAGTTAAGTTGCTAAAATTGAAATGAAAAATAAATACATTTAACATAAAAATCATATTTGTTATTTCTCTTGGTAAAGGAAATAACCAAACCAGAAGATTAGGCAACCCAGGGCTTGCAATTATACATTGCCAAAAAAAAAAAACAACCAAAAACCACTCCCCTCCAGTTTGCCACTGTTCTCACCCATTCCTCTTGAGTCACACATGGCCCTTGCCTAGCTTATAAAGGAGACATTTGAGTTTACCTCTAGGACTTCAAAGGTACTCTGCCAGGGAAACAGGGAGACCGTCCACTTAGAAAGAGCCTCAGTGAATTGGTAAATAAGTGGTTATTCTATAAAGAGAAGGTGACTGGGGCCCTGAGCCTGTAATAGCTTGAACTGGGCAAGAATGAACTAAAGGGCTAAGTAAGAAAGCTGCCCAATATGGGACCAATTAAGGAGAAGCAGAGAGGACCCCACAATTAGCATTAAGGAAGAGCAGACTGAATGATTTCATGCCTGTCTGCTCTAAACACCACTAGAAAATTGATGACCTCCAGGCAAAGAGCTCTAGAAAAACAAGTTCTGTACTGAAAGCTCACTAAGCTTGGTTAGTAGCCCACAGCTCTGAGAGATGGAAGTCAGTTCTAGATCTAGCCTCCTCCAGAGCTACCAAACTGAGGTAACCTACCTCACCCTCCCTCCTAATTTCTTCCCAGTTGAAATAAATGTACAAAACCAGATACTAACTCTTCACTGAGATGCAGGAAGGACACATATGACACGCAAGTATGACCTGGCAGAGCTGGGAGCACAAACCAGGCCTCTCATCTCTTTGTCATTCTTCAAATGATCTAAGATGGTACTTTGTAGTCAGTATTATGATATTCTGAAAGCTATTCTTGTGCTTACATTTTAAGTCAAAAGTCAAGAAAAACCCAGCCACTGTGATAGCATCTGCTCTTCCCTTTGGTAGACATAACAGCCAACTCAGAGGAACTACAACTAAGATTTAATCTTAGAGCTTCCCTTTTCTCTCAACATGTTAACCTGCTTGGGTTAGGAAAAGGTTGGTATTTCTCCTGTTTTACAGATGGAGAAACTGAGTGAAAGATCAGAAGTGTTCACTGAGGTGCCCATCCCACACAGCAGGGAAGTCATGGAACAGAGATTCCCACTCATTCTGATCTCAAATGCAGAGTGGAGCTGCTTCTGTACACACTGCCACTTGTGCTGCCATCTCTAATTAAGTTGCTTCCTTGGTCTCAAGGTTTTGAGTGTTCAACTCTGTCTGCAGAATAAATTTCAAACTCTGGCACAAATGATAAGATTCCCCAATCTTAACCTCACTCCATAGACATGGGTGCAGTGAAGAATCAGGTGTTACAGAATATATTGTGAACATTTCAAATAGTTTTTAAGTAGAATATTAAATTGAGCCCAACAAATAATTCAAACCCCTGAACCTAAACTCTGCCAGAGACTATCACAGATGCTTGACACAGACTATCTCCAAGCCCCATGAAAACTCAAAAGCTAATGGTAATAACCGTTATTTGCTAAGTAAGGAAGCTAGAAAACTGCAGAACTGGGATTTTAATGACTTTGTGGCCCATTCTTAATTTGTATGGCTCTTCCCAGTGTGACAGTGATAGAAATGTCATATCCATTTTTTTCTGAGGAAAAAAAAATTCAAAATCTTGCCATAAAATAATTCTTCCTCTTTTTCTCTTTCTTCTTTTTGTGGTACTGGGGTTTTAACTCAGTGTCTACCCTGAGCCATGCCCCCAGTCCTCAAAATCTTTCCAAACTAATTTTTCATTTTGATTTTGATTCTCACCTAATTTTTGCAGAAGTTCTTGAAGGTAAATAAGAAACAGTGGGTTGGTATGGTATCACTCAAGGAGAAATTAATTATTAAGTTGCTTGAGTATTTAGGGGTCTTGATTTGGAATGTTCTGATTTGTGTTCAAGGACTAGTCATTTATTTTCTTCTATCTGAAAAGTAAATCATTTCCAGGAGGGCAGTGTTGTCTGTGATATTTCTGATATTGGCCCAAAGTACAAATGGATGCTCAGGGGTTAGGAAGAGTGGGGAATCAGGCTAATCACTCTGGGAGAGCCTGTGAAGACAGACCTTGTTTCTAAGACAAGTATGCTCCACGTTTGACACTCCTTAGAATATCAGCTTTGGATCAACAAAAATTGTCAGTACTCAAGGCACTTCTTGTGAGGAGTGTGAGTAGAGTTTACTCACTCCAGACCCCCCTCTGTTTAGACTGAGTCTCCAGCTAGCCTGGTATCTTCTCTTCTCTCTTACGATGGATTGTCCCAGGGTGACTGCTCCCATTGTTCTAAAGACCTGGTTGGGGACATTGATGGTAAATTAGATAGTTCCATTTTCTTTAAAAAAAAAAAAAACCTAATGATAACCAAGACACCATGGTTGTAAAACTGAGTGTCCCTTTTGTCTGTGGAAAGGCACTTCCACCCCAATTAAATGGAGGACACTATGTCCTTTTAGAGTTAATGTGGATTTTTCTAGAAAAGCCAATTTAAAATGCCAAGTCTTTTCTTTCTCTTATTTAAAAAGATTCAATATGGTTAAAAATTTGATGGAAAAGTCCATGTCTGGTTTTGGGGCCAACACTTCTCTTTTGCTTTTAAGGTTTTGGGTTTTTGAGAAAGTTTCCTTTATGTAGCTGAAGCTGGCTTGTAATTTATGAATTTCCTGCTCAGTCTCTTGAGTGCTGGGATTATAGGTGTATGTCACAATGTCTGGTGCTGGACTTCTTTTTTAAATCAAACTCTTTTCTGGGTACGTTGTTCCATTTCTATAATCCCGTACTTGGGAAACTGAGGCAGGAGGATCTTGATTTGGAGGCCAGCCTGGGCTACACAATGAGACCCTGTCTCAAAAACAAAATGAAAATAAAAACCCAACCAAACAACAAAATATATTTGAATATTCTTGTTTTTATTGT